AGAAAGGAAGAAATCTCTTGGAGACAACAAATCAAGATGCAAATGGTGGAAGGAGATGGCAATACAAAATTCTTCCACTCGTTAGCAAATGGAAGAAGGAAAAGATTGATCTCTCGTATTGAGGTTGAAGGCCGAGTGATAGATAGGGAGGGGGAAATTGTTAAGATCTTTGTGGACCATTTTAAATCAACCTTTGCCACCATAGGAAATAGACACCTTGATTTGAGGAATTTGGATTGGAACAAAGTGCCTGAGACAAAAACAACTTTTTTATAAAGGAATTTCATTGTGGATGAGGTTCATGAAGAAATTTTCTCAATGAAAGATCTAAAGCTCCAAGTTCTAATGGTTTTTCAATGGCCTACCAAGATTGTTGGGAGATTATAAAGGATGACCTGATGGGGATGTTTTTTGAATTTCACTAGAAAAGGAAAGTCTCACCAAGAGCAAATGCCACCTACCTGACCCTAGTGCCTAAAAGGAAAGAGGCTAAAACTCTGAAAGACTACATACCTATAAATCTCATAGGAAGCCTTTATAATATCATTGGTACAGTCTTGGTAGATTGCAAGGAGGTTGGGAACTATTTTTCCCTCAGTAATCTCTCAAAAATCAAACATCCTTTGTAGAAGGGAGACAAATTATAGACCAAATCCTAGTAGCAAATGAGTGTGTGGCTGAAAAAAAGGAAATAGGGGGAGAGAGGCTTAATTTGCAAGTTAGATTTGGAAAAAGCCTATGACATGGTGGATTGGTCATTTCTTCTTGTCCTTTTGGAAAATTTTGGCTTGAGAGAGAGATGGACAAAGTGGATTAAAGGGTACATTAGTTCAATACATTTCTCAATTTTTGACATATGGGGTAGGCCAGTGATTTAAAAGGCATGCGCCTAGGCGCACAAGTGAGGCGCATTTTAGGGCAGGTGCCTCGTCTAGGTCCTAGGCACACGCTTGGTGCGCCTAGGCATGCACCTTTGCCCAAACGTGCACCTTTTGAAAATTGTACGCTTTTTTGCCTTTTTTTGAACCTAGCAGCTGGGCCGGGGGCTCCGCCCTCAGACCCCCAATGACACCCCTTGCTTTGCTCACTCACCAAAGCTCCGAGAACCCCCTATTTGCTAATGTTGTTCATTCATTCATCTTAATAAAATATCTTCTGAAAAGGCAAATAAAATTATAAAATCATTATTTTTGTGTGAGGATTAAGAATTTAAGACCCTAACATGGACTTGTTTGGGCTTGCCTCGAGGGGTGTGGCACAAAGGTGACTTGTAGAATTAGAAATGTAATTTGTTTTACATCACATTAGCTACTTGAAGTAATGCAATTGAAGAAAAAAAAAGAGATTGTGAGCTTTACATGCTTGAAAATGTTTTATATGTTTGATTTTATTTTTAAATTTTCATTTGAATATGCTTTACATGTTATGTTTATGTATTTTAATTTGGGAAAATTCTCGATAGGTACCCTGTACTTTAGGCCGAGTGCCAATTTAGTACCCGAACTTTAAAACGTGACAATCTAGTACTCGAACTTTTGAAATGCAACAATTTAGTACCTATTGTTAATGGACCGTCAGTTGTGTATATCACGTGACCTCATGTGCGATTTAAAACTTTTGGAAATGCCAAAATTACCCTTGAAAATAAAATACACCATTCATTATCTTCTTTCTCAACAAAATGAAGCCCAAGCCAAGCTGTCAACAGTCCACGCCATCATTTGATGATGAAAACACAATAGCTAGGGCTCGCCGCTGTCCGCTACCATGGCCTACGGGAGGAGTGGTGTTCTTAGTTCGCCACCGTGGCTGCCAACATGCCCACGCTTGACGCTCCTGATCAAGAGAGATAAAGAGAACTACTCCTGATCAAGAAAAAAGGGTGCTCGTTTCATCGTCGTTTTTCCTGTTGTCCTTTATTCCTTCATAGTCGTTTTTTCTGTTTCATCAAGATTGTTTCTGCCACCATAGGTACCATTCCTGGTATTACGACTGCTACTGTTACAACTCTTGTTTCTGTTCCGACGCTTTAGGTCGGCCAACTCAATCTCCAGCGTCCGTACTACGCCCACTCAGAAAAGTCCCCATATCGTCGATCACCTGTCCCGATTACCTGCATTCCCCGGCCAAGCAGTAGCACTCGAGTATCACAATTGGGGTTTTGGGCTAGGGTGGGTATGAAAATGGTTCTTCACTCTTGGCTTGTATCTGGTGGCGTTGACGGAGCTGCTACTTGATAGGTTGTGGCTTCTGCAACTGCTACTTACGTTGGTGAAACCACGAGAAGAACTATGCTCCAAGGACTCTGACCTTGAACCGCAATGACTAAAATTCCGACTATCTTGATGGAATCCTACCTGAATCGAGAAGGTTTCGAAATATTCTTGACTGTTGCGATTGGATTGGAGAACAGAGAGGAAGAACAAGAAGAATAAGATCAACGAGATATATCCCGAATCTCTCTATCTTCTCCTCCTCTCCCTCAACTTATATATACCTATGGAGATAAATGAACGAGTTAATGAATTAAAAAAGGACTGAAACCCCATTTTAATATAGATTTAAATAATTTCCCGCCTGGATCACCTCATAAAAAATAGGAAAAACGACAATGAAATGAGCACCCTGAAAGAACACGTCGCCGGCTCACACATTTATGATTCTGTCAAAAGAGAGGCACCACATGAACCATTTTATGTTGTTGGTTCACACACGTTGTCGGCCCTGAAAGAACACGTCTGCTTTGTCTTGTTCTTTATGGGAATTGAAGGCCACCCATTTTACCTCGCTACCTCTATTCGCCTTCTGCAAAACTGGAATTCTTTTAGTAGAAACACATGCCATTTCCTGCGAACATGCAAGTGGAAAAAGACGGAAAGAAATGTATAGAGAGTGATGAAAGATATTTGAATCCTTAGGCAAATAGAGTTTAGTAAAGTGGTAAAACTAAAAAATAAAAAAGAAAAACCTTTAACAAATAAATTAGGAGGAAAAAGTGGGGATTTGCAATGCAATACGAGCCAAATTAACAGGTGAGAAGCTTGGAAGAAAGCAACTGTAATTGCCGGGGAGGGGAGCTGCTATTAGCCTATTACCTTCCGAGTAATGACCACTTGGCTCATTTTCATATATTTGAATTCTTATGCTTTGTGTTTGGTTTGGTTAGTGGGAAACTGGGATCGTTGTTGCTTTATTAATAGAAGGTTGATAAAGAAAATTAGATGACAGTTGAAGGGTATTTGTGTCTTTTCCCATGACACTTAACAGCTGGTTAACAGGTACTAAATTGTCACATCTTGAAAATTCGGGTACCAGATTGTCGCATTTTAAAATTCGGGTACTAAATTGGCACTTGACCTAAAGTACAAGGTACCTATTGGGAATTTTCCCTTTTAATTTTAGATAATGGGTTTTTTAAAACCATTAATTTTAAAACTAAAGTTTATATTTCTTATTAATATTATGTTTAATATTTTTGCATTTGTTTTGAATTTTTTGGATTTTTTTTTGAATTTTCTGACTTTTTTTTTAGCAATTTTTTGTATTTTTGTGCCTTGCTTTTAAAAGGAACATGCCTCGCCTTGCGCCTCTCGCCTTGGGCGCAAATTGGCCCTTGTGCTTTTAAAACACTAGGGTAGGCATGGATATCTTCCTAGCAAAGAGAGGTTTAAGACAGGGAAATCCCATCTCCCCTTTCTTATTTACCTTTGTTGCTAAGGTTCTTAGCAAACTGATTATCAAGGTTGATTTAAAAAATCAGTTTAGAGGCTTGAGGATTGGAAGAAATGAAATTCTTGTTACCCATCTACAATTTGTAGATGACAAAATCATTTTTTGTGAGGATTGTAATGAATCTCGTCTAAGAAATTTGAAAGCTTTAGTAGATGGGTTCCAAAGGATTTCAATGTTGAAAGTGAACTGGGGTAAGAGTTGTGTGGTAGAAATTAACATGGAAGAACAAGAAATTCAATTGGTGGCATGTGTGCTGGACTGTGAGATTAAAAATTGGCATCTAGAGTACTTGATATGCCTTTGGAGGTAATCCGAAAATAAAAAGCTTTTGGAAACTAGTGGTAGAAAGATTTGTGAAAAATTAGCTTTGTTGAAAAGATGCTAGATATCCATGGGAGGAAGAGCCACTTTGATCAAACCCACCTTAGCCAACCTGCTTACCTATTACCTATCCACTTTTAGAATACTAGGTAAGATGGCAAGGCAACTAGAAAAGTTTATGGGGGACTTCCTGTGGGAAATAGGTGAGTGGAAAAAAGGCCATGTGATAAAATGAGAGCAAGTGTGTAAACAAAAAGAATCGGGAATACTTAGCATTGGAAATTTGACTAAAAATAATACAACCCTCCTAGGAAAGTGGCTTTGGAGGTTTCCTATAGAAGGATATAGGTTGTGGCATAGGTCATTGGAAGCATAGTTTTTAAGGCACCAAGGCGAGGCTAGGCAACAAGGGGGTGCCTTGTCGCCTAGTTGCCTAGGCAATGGATTTTTTTAAGTAAAAATTATATATTCTAGGGTAATTCCCCAGGTTCCATGGCATAACCATATTTCCTTAATATTTATCCATAGTTTTCATAAAGGAAAGTGTAAACTTCATGTTGAAGTATAGAAAATTAACATATTCATAAGAAAAAGAAGAAAGAAAAGAAAATAAATGCACAAAATGAATGTTTTAGTTTAATAATGTCTATTTTATATTCATTTATCAAAAAAATGTCTATTTTATAATTATAATCTCAAACAATTAAGAATATAAAAGTATTTTATAACACAATGTACAACTATGCCTTCTATGCCTACATGTGGTTCAAGTTGAAGACAGCTTCTTAATGGCTTCCCGGGAGGCATAATTGTCTGTGGATCCTTACTTTGGTGTCTGCAAAAGTGTTGAGTCTCTAATTTTCATTGTTAATTGCCTTCTTAAGGTTCGTTTTTTTTTGCCTTTTTGATATGCACCTTTTGAGAAGTATGTATTTTATATGTTACAGAAAACTCTGTTGTGCAACCGTGAAATCACTTTTTGCCAATGAGGGAAAGCATGGTGGTGAAGCTACTGGTCATGCTGTTCACTTGATAGCGGATCATGTGAAGGTTCATGATTGTCAGCTGCATCCTGATTCTATTGAGGTATTAAGGGTTTTTATATGTTGATTTACTTCGGGAGCGTTTTTATTTATTTATTTATTTTTTCGACGTGCCTACTGAGAGAAGAGAGAAAAAGAAGAGAAGATTAAAAAAAATTTCAGGGCTAATGTTATCACTTGCGTTGATCTCTTTAATGAGACTAGTGCTTTATATTGACACTAGAATTGTCTAAATTACGAAACAAGCCCCAGTGAATCTGATATTATATCAAAGTCTTTGAATAAAAATATTCTTTCTAAAGTACCATCATTCCTCGTACATGTTACATCTGAATACTTGAACAAGAATGATTAGAAAATCTGCATCTTGAAGTGTCTGTACCTTTTCATTCACAAATGAATACCAGTATAGACATGGATGAGGGAGACAGGGATATGACATTCCATTTCCTAATTTCCCAGACATGGGTAGAGGTGTTAATATCCCATTTAATATGCTTATTATCATGCTTTTGTATCTGTTTTTTAAATTTAAGTGTCATCTTGGTATTTGTATCTGAGATTCAAAGCATTAACACACTTGATACTGAACTTTTCAATATCAAGCGTCTAAAGCTTCAATTCTCCATTTTTTTATGTATGTATAACGGGGGGTTCTAACATTTAAACCCATAGAAACTCCTTAAATCCTATTATTTAGCATTTTATTGTCCTTGAAGACTAATACGTGTCATACAATATCTCAAGTATGAGGGACAGATGTTGTGTCTAGACTGAACCCTTCATTCCAATGACTTCAATGATCTAACAACTCAGTTATTTATAAGAAGACTTGAGGACTGATGGAGGATGAGATGGAGGAAAGGTTTGTTATGGCAAATAGATGAAGGAAGATCCTAGGTGTGGAGAACAAAGATTCCTGTTACGAGAAACAGGTGGAGGCTCGGCGGTCTGTCTTTAAGAACAAATAAATATAAAACCCAATGATTAAAATTAACTTGTTAAAATTTAATACTTTAATTGTTTTTCGTTTTATTTACCTCCTTTCCATGATGTATCAGGTTTTCTTGTCCTTGACTTTTGCTGAGGATCTTGGGAGGTCTGAACTGTCAAAAGATGCTGGTGATGTCAAAGGCAAGAAAAATAAGAGAAAGAAAAATGCTGAAGAGCTAAAGAATATGCAAGTCAGTGACAGAAAGAAGAGTAGACAGGAATTGCTGGCAAAGACAAGGGCAGAGGTATAGTATGATTCACGAGAGCCCTTAATTTCTTTTTGCTTTTTTTTTTTTTAATTTTTCTGTTAATCATTCTTCCATTGGGTGAGTGTTACTTAGGATTTTTGATGTTATGCATAGGTCCATGCCGATCTGAAGGCTGTTTCCTTTGCTCCAGACATTGAAGAAAGAAGAAGGATGCAGTCAGAGACGCTTTCTGCTGTATTTCAAACATATTTTCGCATCTTAAAGCATACCTTGCAACCAACTTCCATCAGGTGTGTTTCCTATCTGTTCTGCTACTCTTCCTTTAATGGTGGGAAAAGGTTCTGCTTTTTATGACCCACCTGCAGCATGCCACAAGGCACTATTCCATCCATGTCAGTGCCTTCAATCTTGGTGCCTTCTTGTGGCCTTGCCTCTTCCAAATCGTTTTTGTTTCTGGGTCACGGGTCACTGGTTCAACCATCCGTGTCGAACAGGTCAGACTGTACTACAATATATGTATATATGCGTGTGTGTGTATAGGTATGTATAAACATGTATGTTATCAATAAAAATGTATAATTATTTTTGAGATGTAATATTTGTATATATAAATATTATTAATTTATATTTTTCATTCAGTTTTTTTTTTTAATTTTTTTTATTTGTAAAATATGCTTAAAATTGCAACTTGAGGTCCCAAGATGTTTTACCCAAAATAAAAAAAAGATCACCCCAATCGGATATCGGAGTGCAAAGTTTTTTTTTTTTTAATTTCATTTGAAGAGCTACACAATGGGGGTAGCCCATTCCCCAACCTGTAACCCCCCAACCCAGGTGCAGGCAGGATTCGATCCAAAATCTGCTATGGCCAGCAGGAGACCTTACCAACCAGCTGGTTGGCACCTTGCAGTGCAAAATTGCAATTTGAGTGCTGAAACGATTCACATAAAGAAACAATTTTCTCCAATGAGGGAACAAACAAAGGGTTTGGACCAAATTATCATGAAAAGAAAGGGTTTGGACCAAGATATTTCGGACCCAAAAGTTTAAATTTTAACATCATACCTGAAGGATAAAATCCCACCACAAATGCAGTGAGTCACTATGCTATTCACACCCAATATGCCATTGTCTCATGAACCTGGAAAGAGGTTGTAAGTGGTGCAATCTTGATCTTGCTCAACCAATTAGTTCTTTGATGTGTAGGATGAATTTTGGCAACTTTTGCATGCTTTCCAAGGTGTCAAACACAGTAACCTTGGCTGCAATTGGCCTGGTTTAATGATGGTTTCAAACAACTTTTGTTGAACACCAATTAGGGCAAGATTTAAGAACTAGTTTGGTTCTCTTAGGAAGCTGAATTGAGGAGAAATGGTTCTCTTATGATGGTTTGAAAACTTAGGGTTTGTTTCATCTCTTAGAGAGCTTCTTAAACCCCTAGTCAAACCCCCAATCCAATTGGAAAAGAATTGGTTAGAAGAGCTCTCCTCATTCAGCCATAACTTTCCTAGTCAAACTAGGTTCAAATCCTAATCAAACTGAGACATTCTAAAAGTTGGTTGTACCAGTTGAAGTTTCCTTCTAGAAATCAGAGTACTTGTGAGTTATGACAGTGAGTTTGTTAGGTGTTGATCCATAGGAGTTCAGTTTGAAGCAATATATGAGTCTCTTCCTCTTTTTTATCAAGTCCTAGAGTGAGTGGGACCACCATGGCCGAATTCACATTAAGGTGAATTTGTCCATGGTAGTTGGGCCTACAAATGGGCCCAATAATGTCTTACATTTAATATTTGGACTTTGCCACCCTTAATGCCCAAACCCATTGGTTCTAACTGAAACGTGTCCATTAGGATTTTGGGCCCAAATTGACTCTTGCAATGCAATATCACTGCCATCAATGTCCAACACTCTTAATTGGGGATTGTTCCCTAACCAAGAAATCTAGTGTCACATCCTTTGCATGATGGAACCCTAGGAAAACACATTTTTCAAACCATTTTGAAAGTATTTACTTAATTTAATATTTGCAAAACCTACTTCAGACAAAATGGCAGATCCCATCACAATGATTACTTACCCAGATATCATTTCTTTTGATAAATAAGCAATATTTCATTAATAGAAAGAATAATTCAGTTACAAGCTTCCCATGGAGAAGCACGAGCTGCATCCTCTCCTAACAAGAAGAAGAATTCAAAAGATAGAAAACAGATTTAAACTACAGTTGGACCCAATAAAATCGTTCCTTGTTTGCCCTTGCTTTGCAAGACAATCCGCCATAGCATGTGCTGATCTCCCCACCCATTATATTCTCACAACCAAATTCCTTGTCAGCCACTTGAACTTTTTAATTTCATTCTTAAAGCACCATACTTAAGAGTCTGGGTTTTGTAGCCAGCCCACTATCACTTATCTGAACTGCTAGTTGTACACCCTGGATAGCAGCTAGAATTTCTGCCCTAGTAGAGTTTCCAACACCTAGGGGACCCGAATAAATGAGAACCACATTACCACTCTCATTCCTCGTTACCCCTCCCACCCCTGAGGGGCCTGGATTACCAAGGCTTCTGCCATCAAAATTCAACTTCACGAATCTTTTAGGAGGGCTGGAGGGGGTTCCCAACCCATACTTATTCTAGCCTTTAAAGATGAACAGTTGCCACTGATAACCAATTCCTCGATATCTCATTAAATGAGATTTGGTGGAATAAGTCCAGTGATTTTAGCCACATGATCACTCTATTTAGAATGCACTCCCTTAGCTCTTCTAGGCTTCTCTCCTCTTGGAAGATTATGGCATTTCTCTCTTCCCACACTGTCCAAATCAGCGCTGCTCTTGCACACCTCCACATAATTCTTCTTCTTCTATGACGCCAAGGGAAGAAAGAAGGATAAAAAATCAAACTTACATCAGCTGGCCTAAGCAACCTGCACCCAAACAACAAGAAGAGCCACTCCCATACTTACCTAGATGTCATTCTTACCTGCTCCAACATACCCGGGTATTGGCCTCAGAAGGACCTCACTAGTTGGCATTATCAAAAGCAGACAAGTTTGATACCTGGTAGAGTACAATTGTCATGTTTGGGATTACATGCAAAAATCCAGGTGTTCCACCAGTGAAAAAGTTCTGAAAGTGGTCCAATTCAATGTTTCTCATGAAATAGACACCCATACATGTGCCTTGGGTCTCACCCTAGCAGTTGAGAAAACTGCTTCCTCCCATAAGGTGGCATAAGAATGTCAACCTTGTCAGGGTGAACAACCCAAGTTCATCTACTGTTTGGGAATAGTTTCGGTCTGCATACTGATCATATTTGTCTCTATTTTATTCATAATTAACATAAACCTAAAATGTTGATCAAGGGCTATTCATAGAAATGAACACCCAGTGGCATATGTGATTGTACATGAAACAAATCTTTTATTCAAAATAAAAGTAGTTTACATATCCTATTGGATCATGAGGGCAAACATTGTCCAACGATAGCATTGGTGAGTGTGCATCATTTGGTTATTGCCAGTACTCCACATAGTGATACAATACTTATACCTGCTATTTCCTCTATAGTCTCATTGGTTAAAAGCAGTGCTTTTTTCTTATCTAATGGTTTTATCCTCTTATCTGGTTTAATATTCATTATTTTGGAAAAACGTTGACTCATGATTTATCATTATTTCTCCATACTTTATGATCGTCTACCAGTGTTATCATTGGAAAATCTTCTATTTGGATTACTTTGTTTGAATACTATAGTTTCTATTCTGTTGTATATGCATCATTATATCTATTTGTGTCATTGCATGCTTGTGTTATTAATTTGTTATGAAGGAAAATAGATGCACTGGTGATATGAATGCCTGAACTTTTTTAGTCCATTGTAATTAAAACTTGGTTTAAAGAGACTTGGGGATTTTAACTAGACACTAGAATATCGGTTTGAGATATGAACTTACTTCGTTTTCTGTTTGATAAAGATCATGTGGCAACATTCTCTCTCTTTCCATTTCAGAAAATTAGTATTCATTGAGATTTGGTTTCTTTTCCCAATCATTTTTATGAACAAAAGACTGTGTCCCAAAACTGTCTTTGTTGCTATTGCCCCAATGAAACTGGTTGTATTTGTTGACTTCTACCTCAAGTATCTGAGATCATTTTTTTCCTGATTTTGTTGTTTTTAGGTCTAAAGTGAATGCCAGTTCTGTACCTGGTGGATTTGGGGCACACCCATTACTTGCTCCTTGTCTGGATGGATTGGGGAAGTTCTCTCATCTGATTGACTTAGATTTTATGGGTGATCTTATGAATTGCCTCAAAAAGCTTGCCTGTGGTGGTAGCAGCTCTGATGATTCCCCAGAAAACTGTTTGACTGTTTCTGAACGCCTTAGATGCTGCATTGTTGCATTCAAAGTAATGAGGAGTAACCTTGATGCTTTGAATGTTGATTTAAATGAGTTCTATGTCCAGCTCTACAATCTGCTACTTGAGTACAGACCCAACAGGTTTGTACCGCTTGCACTACTGACATGTGCAGGATGTAAATTTGAGCAACTATCCACCTATTAGATTTTTGGCTGCAAAATCTTTTTTTTTTGATAAATGATTTTTTTTGGCTGCAAAATCTTTTTTTTTTTTTATAAATGAGTTTTTGGCTGCAAATTCTTCATTATGTGACTTTTGTCACTTTGTGTTGGTTGAGCATGTCAGTAGATTACCACATAAAGCTGTGCTCCCTTTGTTCCTCATGTCCATCTTTTGCTTGAAGCTTTGAATTTCTAAATACTAAGTTATACTTGCATTGCCAAACTGAACAAGATACAAAATTCAGTCCTTTTTTTCCCTCAATTACCTAATTGACTTAATCAATTTTTACCTATTTCAAGCTTGGTAAAAAAGGGTAGCTGTTTTCAATGTACTTATATTGTTTGTGCAAGTTTGTTACTTATTGTTTAATGCAGTAAAATGGCTAGGCATTTCTTTTATCAGTAGCAAGTATACACCAGCATTATACTTTTTCCAAGTGTGTTTCATTCTACTGTTTGTATTGGGCAACAAATTTCTGATAGAAGGACAGACAAAAACTGACATTTTACCCATCAAATATATTCTTACCCCACCAGTAGGGATAGGGATGCAAACAGATGCGAGGTTAAGTTGGATATGCCTAGATCCTAAATCGATTCGTTAAAATTTGAATTTGAATTGAATCTTATCCATTGGATTTAGATTAAAATTGAGCCAGATTTGGTTATTGAATACCAGTTTAAAAAATAAACTATAGATGATCAAAATATCATATGCTATTAATAACATAAAAAATGAATTTGATATTTTTACCCTTAGTAAAAAGACTTGAAAATAACTTTTATGAGACTTTAACCTATGACTCTTACAACATTCACACCAATTTTACTAATAGAGATACACATTAGTTTTCTGTAGACGTAAGTACAAAGATAATTTTTATGATAAATAAATGTACATATTTACTGAAAAAAAAGAGTGGATCATATTGGGTTGAACTAGAGTTTGCCCATATTTGATCCAATTATAAAGCAATCAAATTTGGATAATGTTAATCAGACTGGATTCAAATTAAAATTTGGACAAATGATATGATTTGCAGCCCTAGTGACCGGAATCTTGTTACAACTCTATGTTATTGATTTCCTATTATCTTCTAGTAAACCATCCTTTCACGCAAGCATTTAACAGTTATGATGGGTTTGATTTAGAATATTCAGGCAAAACATTTTGAATATTCAGATGATCCTAAATATCCACCCTATAATATTTTTTCTAAGTTAATGACAATAGTTAAGCTTGTTTTTCTTTTCCTTTTTTTTCCCTCTTTTTGATTAATTGGGGTTTAAGCTGTGTGAATGGACCAAAGTAGTTCACCTTTTCTGAAATTTTCATGTCTTCTAAGCAGAGCTGATCAGGGTGAAGTGTTGGCTGAAGCTCTAAAGACATTGTTGTGTGAAGGAAGACAACATGACATGCAAAGAGCAGCTGCCTTCATAAAGCGCTTATGTACTTTCTCCTTATGCTTTGGATCTGCAGAGGCCATGGCTGGTATGTCTAATTTTATTGTAGACAACCGTATATTCATGAGTAACATTTTTCTTGTGCAGTAGCAATCTTGTTAGTTGCAAAAGTTGGGCAGCAAATGTCTGATTATTTTGTTTTCAATTTTTCTGCAGCCTTAGTCACGTTGAGGCATCTACTTCAAAAGAATGTCAAGTGCCGGAATCTGTTAGAAAATGATGTTGGTGGTGGCTCGCTTTCAGGATTGGTTGCGGTAAAGTCTCATTCCAGCGTCTAGAAGATGATGGATAATATAAATGAACTTTTAGGAAACATGTGGCCCATCAATTCTACTATATTGATTAATGAGTGGATAAGCCAATTGTCCCCTGGATTCTAGTTAATAGGTTTGTAGTTTTTACCATTATTGGACATTCTCACCCATGAGATAAAAATAATAATAGAGGCCATTAATGTGACAAAGAAAAAATAAATAAATTCAGAAATCATTAGCGAATCTAAACATTTTTTTTTTATTTTTTAAGGAAGATAATGAATTTGTATTAATCAGAAAGGGGGGGGGGGAGGGTCGTAGTGGGAGAAATCCTCCATGTACATCAAGATAAATGTATCAGTTAGCACCATTTATGAAAAGAAGTCATCAATGAACAAAGAGGGAATTGAACTCAAAAACAGAATTAGCACCCACACCCCTGATATCCTTGTGAATCTACATTCAAGATACAATCATCCCAATTTTTATTTATTTTGTTTTCTGGGATTGGTAATGATCATCCCAGTTCTGTTTCTTAGGACTTCCTCTAAGGATTGACTTCTGCTCATGAAAATCCTATTGTTCCTTTCTTGTCATATGTCCATATAATAGTCCAGGAACAAGACCTCCAGGCTGCTGAGTTCCTCAGACCAGATTCTATAAATGGTTGGGAAATGTGACCATAGGTTAGTAGCAGACTGCAATGCAACAAAAGGTGATTTGTTGATTCTTCATGATTACTGCAAAAGATGCATGTGATGGAGTTCTGTGACATGCCTCTTCTAGTTCTAGCTAGGCTATCCAAAGTGAGGCATTTCTCCCAATGGCAATCCAAGCAAAGAAGACATGTGGAAGGGGCTGCAGATTTCCAGATGGCTTTGTAGGGGAATTCATTAAGGACAGAATGTTGGATCATATGAAAGATCCAGAATGGTCATCAGATCAAACTTTTCTGTTGTCCCAACCATTCAAATTTCTATGGAAGCTTGGCTGGCAAACAGTCCCCTGCTCACTTGTCTCATAGCAAGTGAGCTTCAATGGAAGGTCAGGGCTGTATGGAAGTTTCTGTAGGTGAATTTGGTAGAACCTTCTTTAGGCACAAAGAAATGTGCAGCAAAATGGAAGGACAGAGCTGTATGGAAAAGGCAGTTGGGGAGGTGCGTGTTAGACCCTGTGGTCAGATGGTGACAGGTGGGAATGTTGAACAAAGCTTTTCAAAATTTCAAACTATGCAGGGCGAGTTGAACCAACATGAGGTTGTAACAGGAAGAAGGACCCATCCTTTATTTCGGTGGGTTGAGCAAATTGGCGTGAGGCATGCGTGAGCTTAAGTTATCATGTGGGGGTTGTTAAGGTGGGCCAGGAAATATATTAAATGGGCCATTTACAGAAGAGGGGGCAAGAAAAGGGTTTTGTACTTGATCACATGAGAGGGGGGCAAGGTTGGGGGATGGTAGACAAGGTCTGAAGTATCGATATGATACGCCCCATATTGGGCATATTGTGTTGTTTCATGAGGGTTCCAATACACTTGTTTAAAGATGTTTTCAGGAAACCCCATATTAGGCATATTGTCGATACAGTCCTGCTGATACATTTGGGTGTACTGATACTTTAAACCATGATGGTAAATTATCTATCGGATCCATCATCATCTACTTTAAAAATGTGAGACACTCAAGTGTGATGTGGTAAAGCTATCGAAACCAATGTTTTAAAATGTGGAGGCGTGACGCAAGGCGTTTCACTGCCTGGAGGCATGAGGCATAGTAGTTCAGAACATAAGAGGCGTAAGCCTCCTTTACTTTGTGGGGGGATCAAGAGGAGGGAGGATGAGGAAGAGGAAGGAGGATGGAGGATCCCATCTTTTTTTTGTTTCTCTTTTTCTTCTTATAAAAGATGTCTTGTACCAAGAAAAATGAAGATGCATAACACTAGCTGAGAGGAAGAGCTTGAAGTACTCCAGGAATTTTGAACAAGGTCTTTTTCTCCTCTCTTGAAGTACTCCAGGAAGCTCAGTGGTTCGGGAAAGGAAGAGCTTGAAAAGTGGGAGTGGGAGATAACTAGTTTCACTCAAGCTAATGGCGATTTGAATTTTGAACAAGGTATCTTCAGACAATAACCAGCGTCAGGTTAGCAGAGTACTAGCGGCCGAGAGGTTGATAGCAGGTTTTGACAAATAGGTTTCATGCTCAGAAGAAGGGAATGCTACTCAAGTTCATCCCCTTGTGGACTTTGTTTTGGAAGCATAATTGGTCCCATGGGGGGCTTCAATTAAACCAGTAATCCAGACAGAGATGGAAAGTGCCCTCTGTTCAACAAATCTAGCTAGAGAGTCTGGGCTTACTGTGACGATTCAGTTTCAAGAAATCAACTTGATGGGGGGCATTATGGCTAGGGAGGAGAGAGAAAAAGTAGCGAAAGGGAGGTCAATCCTATCCAAAAAAGAAATCAGTTATCAAACTGTTGGTAAGCTGGTCTCAAGTCTAAACATCAGTAGAAGATTGGAGGATTGTTCTGTTTGGGGAAAAAGGATTGGAAATGTCTAAGAATCCAGAAAAGTCATGTAAGGAAGTGGAGAAAGTAAAGTAGACAATGTTTTGTTATCCCATGTGTTCATTGGAAAATTGGGGGTGGATTTACGGAGGAAAAAAGTTGCTGTCATGATTGAAGAGATCAAGAACGGTGATGGGTCAGTGGTTAATCAGAAAAAATTACAAGGACTCAAATGCTGGCCACCTAATTCATGCCACAAAAGATTGAAGGCTGGGCTTTTTGGTGTGCATCCTAGTAGTAGGTACAAGATGTACTACAAGATGAAGGGGTTGAAGAATAAAAATAGAACACATAACAGTATTAAAATCAGTTCTGGATTGGATTCTTTGAAGTAAGGGGTGGAGGGAAGTTTAGGATCTGCATTAGATGTTCAATTAGAAGATGCAACACTAAAAGGGGAAGAGTTCGGAGACGATGCTAAGAGAAAGAAGAGGAGGATGACAACAAGTTGATTATTGATCGAGATAAGTAGAAGGATATGGATTTGAAAAAAAATAGAGGAAACTGAAGTCCGGGTAAGGAAGATTTTGGGTCTATATTTTATAGGAGGGTTAGCAAGAAAAGCCTTCTGGGAACTGGAAGAGAAATATGTATTGAGCAAGGAAAGTGAAAAAGGGCATTCTTGGTTTTGATGTAGGAAGGTTAATTAAAGCATTACTAATGAGAGTGATCATCCCCTTTAGAGGTCAACTTCTTATAAATTCTTTCAATAATGGGTTTCCAAATAGAATTAGAGTTGCAGTATCCACCCAAAGGCATGGCAATAGTGAAAAAGGGCATTCTTGGTTTTGATGTAGGAAGGTTAATTAAAGCATTACTAATGAGAGTGATCATCCCCTTTAGAGGTCAACTTCTTATAAATTCTTTCAATAATGGGTTTCCAAATAGAATTAGAGTTGCAGTATCCACCCAAAGGCATGGCAATATATTTTGGATGGGGATGGCCAGTCCTACAACCAAGGTATACAGCCTAAACATCAAAATTATTGACATTAACAACAGCCATTACTTCACTTTCCTGGATATTGATCCAAAGGTCCAATATCCAAAATAGATTAACATCTCAGATATTGGAGTTGTTCCTCAACAGTCGCAAAGAAGTATTATATTATTATCAGAAAATTAGGGGGAGATGGTAGGGGAGCCTTCAAGAAACGAAAAGCCTCTAGAAAACCGCCCTCAGAAGCCTTGGTTTGTGAACCTGTTCAGGGTCTCACTAATCCAAAAAAAAAAGCCTGTTAAGGGTCTCCATAACACATAAGAACAATAGAGGAGAAGACATACTTGTCCCAGCTCTCTAGAGCTGTCAAAGAATCCTGTATACTCTCCATTTACATTAATGAAGATAGAAAGCATAGAAGATATACACAGTATTAATCCATCATCTCCATCTGTTACTGAAGTTCATCCTCAGGATATAATTGAGATAGTTCCAACTTACATGATCATATGCCTTCTCGAGCTTGATTTTGCATGTAACTCCTGTCTTCCCAGTTCTAATCGTGGAGTCAATCAACTTGCTTGCTACGAGAACTCCATTTAAAATTTGGTGATCAGGGAGAAAAGGTCCTTGTGAAGGTGAGATCATCATACTGCATAGACTTTCCTGCATCCTTGTCAAGAATCCTAGAAACAATTTTACCTATCAAAAGAAAAGAAAAATCCTAGCAATGATTTTGTGTCCACTCTCAAAGGGACTAATTGACCATAGTCTTTGAACTCCGAGGTACCATGTTTAATTGAAACTAGAGTGATGAAAGTGGCACCAAGATTTTTTTTTTTTTCCAATGATGGTTTGAATGGAAATTATTCAAGACCATAGTTGTCAAGGTGATGTCTAGGTGACAAGGCACCCATGGAGGGTTAGCTCACTTAGTGCCTAGTTGTTTTGTACATGGCACTATGAAATATTGTCGTATTCTTTAGTTTTTGAGATTACAATAATAAATAAACTGAATTATTCATTTTTTGGGTTTATAAACGAAGTTCTTTTTATTATTTTCTTATTTGTTAGGGTTCAATCAACAGGTTTAACTCACATATTGGTGTATGCTGTCTTCAACCCTTGAAGAATTTAAAACCTGACCAACAAGCTAGCATGAATTTAAAATTTTGTCCAATCAACACATTCTTCTTTTTCTTTAACCCTTTCTTTTCTTATTTTTCTAAGGCAAACATGGCTCTGCACCTATATTTTCTGAATTTTCTTTTCTTCTTGATCTTGTCATACATATGTTGATCTTCTATGTTTTAATTATGAATTGTATACTTTTTTTATGAAGATTGTAGATAATTACTAGTGGAAGATGGTTGCTGGTTGCTATGGAATCTAAGAAATTACCCTAGGATTCATGTTTTTTATTTAAAAAATAATCCGTCTCCTAGGTGACAAGAACCTAGCCTTGCCTTGGTTCTTTGAAAACTACATTTAAGACATTCATTAAATCATTCTTGATAAATTCACAAGTCTTTTCAGTGAAGGTGATGGTGAATTTATCATGGTCTAGCACCTTGTCTCCTATTTTATTTATTGTCTTCCTCACCTCCTCATCGAATGGCTTTTCAGCTATTTGAATGTCATCGATGATATTAAAAGGCAAGCCCTCCACCTTGGCTCTTCTTTTCAATTGCTTATTCAGTAATTGGGAGTTGAAGGTTTTGATGGTCTGTTGAATATGCAGTTGGTCAATCACAGGTTCATTCTACCATGAGCTTGTAAGAGGAACTTTCTTTCATCCTGGCAGTTGCCTGCTGGTAGAAGTATTTCGTGTTATTGTACCCCTTGGGAGTTGAAGGTTTTGATGATCTGCTGAATATGCAGTTGGTCAGTCCCTGGTTCATTCTACCATGAGCTTGTAAGAGGAGCTTTCTTTCTTCCTGGCAGTTGCCTGCTGGTAGAAGTATTTCATGTTATTGTAGCCCTTATGAATCTAAATTACCTGTGTTCTCTCTGCCTCTATTAACTTCCTCCTGGTGTCACACCTGTGAAATTGCTATTTAGCTTCTTGTCATTGGGCTATCTTGTTTGGTGTGCTCTTCCCTTTTCCTTGCAATTGATTTTTGAAATAAAGAGAGCAACTCCACTTTCCTCTGTTTTACTCTTTCAAAGGTGTTCCTTTTTTCATTCTTTACTACATTAAAGCATTTCAGCTTCAGAACTATGATATGGCCAGCTTTTCTTTTGACTTGAAACAAAGACCTGTTCCGAAGTTACTTGAGAAAAATTTCTTCCTCCAGTCACAAATTCTTGAATCTGAATGTGACTGAAGAGAGGATGAGGTAAAGCTTCTTGTGACATTCCCAGGCAGAACTCCCAATCTACAGAAAGTCTTTTATCAATTTCCAGGTATCTTCTCGTAAGTTTATCTAGAAAAGTCTGAATGACCTGGGGAATCTTTCAAGTGGCAATGTGTTTGTAGGGCTGTCAATGGGTTGAGTCTACCTGACATAACCAAACCAACCGGACTGGTTATGTTTGTTCTGGTTCTGGGATTTTGTCCTGAATAATTGGGTCGATTCTGGTTCTTGCTTGTTCTGGACCAAACACTTGAATTACTAAGATATAAATAAAATACTATTTTACTGTCATTTTTATTACAGTTATAGGTTAAATTATGTAAAATTTATATATATATATATAGTCTGGGTCTACAATTTTGTCCTGATTAATATTTGGTTTGGGATTGGGACACCCTGTCCTGACTCAAACCCGACCATTTGACAGCCCTATGTGTTTGTAGTCCAAATGAGTGCTTTGTATTCCTTTCTTCTCCATTCTGTCAAGGGAAGGTTTCGGCCCAACAACCCTTGGAAGGCATCCAGATTAACACCACTGGCTCCCCCACCCCCCCCCCAAAAAAAAAAAAAAAAAAAAAAAAAAAAAAAAAAAAGCAAGTGTACTAATATAGAGACCCCCAGGACATTAGGGAGCTCTACAGAGGGATATACAAAAGAAAGTATATATTTATGTGCAAAGAATATCAAAAGAAAGATGAGACTACATCCCTGTAGCTATGATGCTTAGCCAGGATCGGATTGTGCACTTGATGCCCTTATAGTTTCCTTCTTCAGTGTTGCTGGTTTTTCCTTCAAAAGTAAAAATTTTGTGATAGATGGTTTGGATTAGCTACATGGTTCATGTGATAGAAATGACTGATGTCATCAATCTTCTAGATATTAGGCTTCTGATTAAGGTAATTTTTCTGTATAACGTATAACAATTTCACCAAGTCAAAAGTATGTCTGTTGATATTTATCTCAAAAAATGTCTGTTAAGACATTCACATAACACTTTTGGAGCAGTTGGTTGCTACTCCAAATGCTTCAGTCAGGTGTCTAAGCATTTCTTTGAGAATAAACAGAAACAAGTTGCCCCATGGGTAAACAGAAACATCTATGATGCAGACCAGATATAGTATTTGTATATTTTAGAATTTAATTAAATTTGACAATATATATGATGCAGGATGGGGTAGGGGTCCTACTAACTTAGTATCTGGTGGTGGGCTTTGTGAGGTGAACGAAAGGCTGTGGATGATTAGAGAAGAAGAGTATGGATGTAAAAGCAAGTAGGGTGCTTACTGTTGGGATAAACAGACAAGAGATAGATTGCCTAGAAAAAGAAATAAGAGAAAGAGGGCTTAGGTCTTTTGTCTTTGTTGTAGCCTGTGTACAGGGCTCCCCGTCCAGGGTGGGAGTGGGCCTAGGTCTTCGTGGGAATTGTTGTAGTCTTGGGTGAGGCAGTTTCCAACTTGAGAGAGAGGGGGGGGGGGGGAGAAAAATTTCTGGCAACAACTCTCCTTTAATGACATCAGAATTTACTAAAAATAATGATAAGAGAATTGCTATAATTAGTAAATCTGGAAGTTACCATAAAAAGTAATTTGAAACAATTATTAAAATCTAAACAACCAAACCATGTTCTCAAGACACCAATCACTAGTAATTTCTCCATGATTTCTTTCCTTCCATATCTTCATCAATATAACTATTGAGTAATAATGCTTAGCTTCATAATCTAGATACTGTAGTAGCATATTATATGGAGCCCTGGTGCCTTCCCTCTGTGTGAAAGAATACTGCATCCAACTGTGTGTACAGGGATGGCAAGTCTGCCTAGTGAGGTTGTTTAGTGAACAAGGTTGAATGACCAAAGAATCTTCCACATGGGAAATTGGTTTTGGGCCCACAATGGTGTATCCCTTTAACGTGGCAAAGTTGACCCCCAAAATCCTTGCCACATCAGGATAATCCTCTCTTTTTAGGAAAGTTCTATATTAGATCATTGAAACTCTTGACAGCAAAAATTGCTTGTCCAAAGAACTAATAAAAGGTGGGGCGCAGGATGGATAGGACTTGGAGAATGCACAAGTGGCCAAATACAGGGTCCCCTTGGTGGGTGGCTTGCATTGGTCACATTGGCAGGAAAGCTCCCTTTTTTGGTACTAGCAAAGAAGCTCCCTAATTGACCCAATTGGGGAGACTATTACTTCCATTAAAGTGCCTTCAATCTCTTGTACCATGCAGATGCCTTGTCAATTGGTAAAGTGTTCTGAGATGAAGAGTAGGGAATATAGAGGCTTTTTTTTTGCTGCCAAGACCTAGGATTAAGATAACTATGTTTTTAATATTTTTTTTATTCTGATGATTGACCACTGAACCACTTGCTACCATGTCTTGTGTAATGTTTTCTCTGCAGAAATACCAGCCTTACGCCATGGATCCAAACCTAAGTGGTGCACTAGCTTCGGTACTTTGGGAACTGAGCCTACTGTCTAAGCATTATCATCCTTCAGTTTCCACGTTGGCTTCAAGCATTTCAAACATGGGGACTGGTCACAGTCAGGCTTATCTCTCCACTGTTTACCCTCAACAAGCTTTTGCAGATTTATTAATTGAAAAGGAATCATTCGACATCAAGAAAAACCTCGGTACATTGAGCCGGAAGATGAAAAGTTTAAGGAGGTCCTCTAAATCAAGCTGTGATACGTGCATCGAATATAATACGAAACTGGAAACGGATGATGAAATCAAACAAAAACTGTCCAATCATTTCATAGTGCTCAAGGGTATTGCTGAGAATGAGAGATTGAGGAAAGAGTTGAATCGTACAGTGTCATCCTTAAAGCTGTATGAAGAATATAAGAAGCAAAAGAGGAAAACGCAAGGTGATCATTCCAAGGCAAGGAAAAAGAAACGTTTATCCAGTGTTTAACATTTCCAGAACAAGGTTTTGGAAGTTCAATTGTAATTCGTGCATTTTTAGAAAATTTTCTATATAAATTTTGACCTAAACTTTCTTGAGTTCCATCTCTTTTCCAAATCACACAAAAATGTCTTAAATGTTTGTAAAAAATCGATTCAGCAAGGTTTCAAAATATCAGTATTGCAAAGCATATTCGTAAGCATGTTATTGAGACACTCGGTCTGTCTACCCACATTGTAAGTGTTCCTTGACATGTTAAGTATTTGACTTCTCCCATCTTAGCGAGGTTTAAATTATCAATACTTGAATCGTGAGTTTTCAATATCAGCAGTATCAAGGCACCTGGGTATGATACATAGTGAGAGTTTGGGCATTTATAATTTTATATGGTTTTAATTATTAATGTCCATTCTCAGTTGCCTATATGTGAGTGAGCATATTTATGTCATGGTTTTTGAACCACCGTTGACTTTGTTGGTTGGATCGTTTGACCCAGGAATCGTCCATGCAAGTGATTCTGTTTTTTTCAAACCTGGTCTTTGACCAAAAGCTTTTGAATCAGTTAGTGATTCATTGACCTGGGTGGTCCACCCATTAACCCGTTTAACAGTTTTTGGCCTCTTTTTATTTTAAATTATTTTATTAGAATGGGTTATTTATTTAAATCGAACAGTCAAACTGTCAACCCGAAAACCTGTGATTCTATACTGTACATTATTATCTATATTTGCACAATTGTGCTCTTTCCAATCATTATTAACAATTTGAGCTTGAAGAAGATTGGCCAGCACTTGTCAACGAACATCTCCCGTTCGGACCTTTGGCAAAATAGGTTCGGTTGATCTTTAATACAAGAAGCCGCAATGGCAGGGCATTTGTCAAAGATTAATAAGTCATCGACAAAAAAAGGTATTCAGCATTAAGCTCGACCGACCAAACTTAATGCCCAAGAAATCACTAGAATCTAGTTTGGATGATAGAAGAGAAGATAAGACTTCAGTGCAAAATAAGAAAAGATAAGGTTATAGTGGACATCCTTGTTGGAGTCTTACTAGGGTAGAAAGCATTACATGCATTCCCATTCAAAAGAAAGAAATTTGAGTTGTTGAGATGCATCTTTAAAGTCACAAATTGAGCTAGAGAGTCCTAGAATTTTCAAAGTTTTGAGGACTCACCAGCTAACTTTGTAAGTGTCTGGCATCGATGCCGGTTGTTTCAGAGATGCTTTCTGAGAAAATGGTGCTGTATGCATGAGGGTCTGTTGCATCGTTTTCTCAGAAGATGACTTTTTTTGTTTGGCATCGATGCTTCCACATAGGCTAACCAGTGCTGTGTAACTGTTTTCAGCATTGGTTTACATTATCCAACGCCGAAGGTGATGCCATGTCATTTCACCATTAGCAGCAATAGGCCGTTTTTTGAGAAAATATTGAATTTGACATTTCCTCAGACCACACTTTCCTGATTTCTAAGGCATGGTCTAGAGTAATATTTTTTTTCCTGGAAAAAATGCCAAATAAAAAACCATTTTCTAAAACACCGCTTTTTCTGACATGACACCAATATGGCGCCGTTTGCTAAGAAAACAGCATCAATGCCAAACACCGCCTTTATCATAGCATGAAATATCCATGTCGGCCTTTGTGGCAATTTATCATGTAGATAACCTCTTGAGCAATAGTAGTACTATACTACTATCATAGATGTATTGGCTTGGGGTGAAAGCATTTTTCTATAGACCAATAGTATAAAAGATAAAAAAAAAATCTTTGCAATTATCTTATAAATCACATTCATTGCAGAGGGCCAAAGGTTAGAAATCTATGGCCTCCTCAATGCGATTAGCTCTATGGGTAAAGCAAAGTTAGGTTTACTTCTTTGATTCTCAGTGTTTCTTAGAACATATCTTGTATATATTGATTGCATTAGTTAGGTAATTCCTCTTTAATGATATACCAAACACTTTTGTTACATCATAGCCTGAACACCATCAGAGCCATTGCCTGTTTCTTCATCTTGAATGCAATAAAGGGAGGCATTATATTCATTAGAAACAGCAGGGGGATTCAGCCCATCATCTGAAAATCCGAAAGATGTGTTTGGGTATTAGTAAACAAATCTTCAAAGTAGTTGTCAACAAGGATTAAAATATCACTACATATCAGAGTGTATCATATTGGAGGCTTCCTGATATGCTCCTATAGGGGGTGTTTCGGGGTTTGGCCTAGTTCAGGGGTAAACCGGACTTAAACCGACCCCTCTCAACTAGTTTCAAAGAAAATCTGAAAAAGAAAAATAAAAATAAAAAATAAGTAAAAGGCGAAATATACAGGCCGATACGCCAAACCTTGATTATCAATGATACTCATTTAGTCATTTTAGTATAGAAGAGGTTCAAGCACCACCTATTTTCCCCCCAACTAGTGGAGTAAGTGGACATTGCTGTGGAATTTTCTGTTTGAAGCATAATGGGAAAAACTGCATGTTGCGTTTTCTGTCTTTAGGCAATCAAGTCCCAAACTTGACACAAACGCTTGGTTTTAAAAAACGACTCGGGAAGTGGGACCGTTTTGGCCACTCGTTTCTGAGTTGATGGCTTAATCGTCCGGTTTGAATGGATGGTCCATTCTGACAAAAAAATAAATAAATAAAAAAAATTAAAAATAAAAAAGCTAAAAATTGTTGAATGGGTCAATGATTCAGTCACCCGGATCAATGGATCATTGACTGATTTAACGATTTTTAGTCAATAATCGGATTTGAGGTAAAGCGGAACCAATTGCCTAGACAGTTCCTGGGCCGAACGGTCCGACCATCTAGATCAACAGTGATTCGAAAAGCATGTACAAAAGTGTAGTAGCATTTTCTATTTGAAACATCACATGAGAAAAATCGGTGATGCATTTTCCCTCTTTAAACAATCAGATCCCAAACTTGACACAGGAGCGCTCACATTGGGAAGAATAAAACTTAGCCAAAATTGTGTTTGAATTCAAATCTCATTTGGAAGAAGTGGTCACAGACTTGGGTTACATTTCACAGTCAATTTTGCAGGTGTATTGCATTGAAGATAAACATTTTGCATATCTAGACAAAAAGATCTAAAGGTCTGCTTTTCAAGGCTTCAAATGGAACTGAATTTGGAGCTTTCTTGGTTGCTCTAATAATTCTTAATGTGCATTAATTTCGAGTCTTTTGAATGTTTCTATGCCTTCTCCACTTCCTAAGTCCGAGTTTTCTAAAATAGTTCATGAATCGTATTAATTGTGATTCATTGCAGGGTTATTCCAAGCATGGTTTTTAAAAACGAACCAGTGACAAACCGGTCAGGGGTCCGGTTATCGGTTCGAATGGTTCAATTATTTGATTTGAACAGCTGGCCCGTCTGACAAAAAAAATAAAAAATTTAAAAAATTGGAAAACGGTCAAAATCATTCAAACGGTTAACCAGCCGGTTCAGCGGTTTACTGATCAAAATCAATAATTTTGGGGGAAAAACGGTTTTGGAGGAAAACGGAACCAGTCAGATGACCAGTTCCCAGTTTTTTCGGTCTGACCGTCCGGTCCGGTCTGATTTTAAAAACAGTGATTCCAAGCAAGTCTATATAAAGTTTCTAGTCTTGTAAATCTAGTGGAGTTCACAATTTGAGTTTGAATACAATTGAACCTCTGGCTTTCTTAAAAGTTCTTCTAACTCAAGTTCTAATGATTCTTCTCTCCTCAAGCACATTTATTTTAGTGATAAGAAGATAAGAACCATTTGAACTTCGTTAGAAATCTTTCTAAATACTGAATTAGTGCTGCTTTTCACATGGGCATACTCATCATAGAATCCATCATATACATTGAACCAGTTCTTTTCAAAATGGTACTCCCATAATCTGTTTGGTTCAAACATGTAGGAATGGAAATGGGAATTGGAATTAAATGGAGAATGCCATAAATAGAAATGGGATTCTGATTCTGTCCAACCGAACATTTGGAATTAAAATAGCCCATTAATTCCGATTCCAATTCTAGACCCTTATTCCCATGAACCAAATGGGACGATAATAATATATAGTATTCCAAAAATCAGTTTCACAGGTCTTACTAGGGTGAAAAAAAACACATAGAAGGTTCTAGTGCATGTGGGCAGGCCAATTTAATTTGTTACTCTCTGTTAATAACAAGATTAATTGGCAAGTGCAAAATGTCAATATTCAGTCTGCCATAAACATGGGCAGGGTTCTCGTGGGTAGGAGATCTGGAGTCTCTTCTCCCAGCCATTCCAAACATCTCCCGTTAGGCCGTTTGATGGCACAATGTGAAAACCAATCGTTCCAAAGGCTCATTTTGGAAGGAGTACAAATACAAATATGTAGTGCAAAACCTTGTATTTTATACTATTTTGTATGCATTTGCATTGTACGTATTCGTACTCCTTCCAGACTGAGCCAAAAAAAATTTAATTTTTCTACTATTTGTCTCAGACAAAGTGTCAATTTTGGGCCCTGTGCTTCCTCAGGAGACTTTTAAGAGAGAACTGGAAATACTTATTTTGTATGGTGGGGCAGTTTTAGGGCCACCTCTCCAGCCCAAGAAGAAGAGTTTCTAGTGTTCACTGATGATTTGAGTCTAGCTGACTATTTAAGACTTGATGTTCTTTGATTGTGGCTAGGGCTGTTCACAGGTCGGGTTGGGTCGGTTTAATGCGGTTTTTCCAACCGGTCCAACCTGGTCGGGTTACCTGACATAGAAACCAAAACCGACCCAGTGTTAAGCAAAACCAACCTGGTCGGTTTGAGTCGGGTTGGGTCGGTTTGAGTCGGTTTCGATTCTATGTTCATCCCTGTGATAAAATCTTGCTAATTTTAAAAACAATCATAAATTGAACATCATTTCAGCCATCTCCTATGATAAAATTTAAATGNCACCCTGTCCTGACTCAAACCCGACCATTTGACAGCCCTATGTGTTTGTAGTCCAAATGAGTGCTTTGTATTCCTTTCTTCTCCATTCTGTCAAGTTAAAATGTGGGTCTAATCAAAGTAAAAACGCATTTAGTTTCACTCCCCTTATTTCTTCTAACACTCGTCGAAAAAAAAAAAAAAAAAATGAAAAA